TGACATCATGTGAAAATCAAAAGAAATCTGCCAAGACCTCAGGAAAAAAAACTGTAGACCTCCACAAGTCTGGTTCATCCTAGGGAGCAGTTTCCAAACGCCTGAAGGTACCACGTTCATCTGGACAAACAATAGTACGCAAATATAAACACCATGGGACCACGCAGCCATCATACCGCCCAGGAAGGAGACGCATTCTGTCTCCTAGATATGAACGTACTTTGGTGTGAAAAGTGCAAATCAATCCCAGAACAACAGCAAAGGACCCTGTGAAGATGCTGGAGGAAACGGGTACAAAAGTATCTATATACACAGTAAAACGAGTCCTATATTGACATAACCTGAAAGGTCGCTCAGCAAGGAAGAAGCCACTGCTCCAAAACCACCATAAAAAAGCCAGACTACGGTTTGCAACTGCACATGGGGACAAAGATCATACTTTTTGGAGAAATGTCCTCTGGTCTGATTAAACAAAAATGGAACTGTTTGGCCATTATGACCATCGTTATGTTTGGAGTACAAAGGGGAAAGCTTGCAAGCCGAAGAACACCATCCCAACCGTGAAGCACGGGGGTGGCAGCATCATGCTGTTTGGGTGCTTTGCTGCAGGAGGGACTGGTGCACTTCACAAAATAGATGGCATCATGAGGAAGGAAAATGATGTGGATATATTGAAGCAACATCTCAAGACATCAGTCAGGAAGTTAAAGCTTGGTCGCAAATGGGTCTTCCAAATGGACAATGACCCCAAGCATACTTCCAAAGTTGTGGCAAAATGGCTTAAGGACAACAAAGTCAAGGTATTGGAGTGGCCATCACAAAGCCCTGACCTCAATCCTATAGAAAATGTGTGGGCAGAACTGAAAAAGCATGTGCGAGCAAGGAGGCCTACAAACCTGACTCAGTTACACCAGCTCTGTCAGGGGGAATGGGCCAAAATTCACCCAACTTATTGTGGGAAGCTTGTGGAAGGCTACCCAAAACGTTTGACCCAAGTTAAGCAATTTAAGTCAATGCTACCAAATACTAATTGGGGAGAACAAGTATTTGATACACTGCCGATTTTGCAGGTTTTCCTACTTACAAAGCATGTAGAGGTCTGTAATTTTTATCATATGTACACTTCAACTGTGAGAGACGGAATCTAAAACAAAAATCCAGAAAATCACATTGTATGATTTTTAAGTAATTAATTTGCATTTTATTGCATGACATAAGTATTTGATCACCTACCAACCAGTAATAATTCCGGCTCTCACAGACCTGTTAGTTTTTCTTTAAGAAGCCCTCCTGTTCTCCACTCATTACCTGTATTAACTGCACCTGTTTGAACAAATTACCTGTATAAAAGACACCTGTCCACACACTCAATCAAACAGACTCCAACCTCTACACAATGGCCAAGACCAGAGAGCTGTGTAAGGACATCAGGGATAAAATTGTAGACCTGCACAAGGCTGGGATGGGCTACAGGACAATAGGCAAGCAGCTTGGTGAGAAGGCAACAACTGTTGGCACAATTATTAGAAAATGGAAGAAATTCAAGATGATGGTCAATCACCCTCGGTCTGGGGCTCCATGCAAGATCTCACCTCGTGGGGCATCAATGATCATGAGGAAGGTGAGGGATCAGCCCAGAACTACACGGCAGGACAGTCTCAAAGAAAACCATTAGTAACACACTACGCCATCATGGATTAAAATCCTGCAGCGCACGCAAGGTCCCCCTGCTCAAGCCAGCGCATGTCCAGGCCCGTCTGAAGTTTGCCAATGACCATCTGGATGATCCAGAGGAGGAATGGGAGAAGGTCATGTGGTCTGATGAGACAAAAATATAGCTTTTTGGTCTAAACTCCACTCACCGTGTTTGGAGGAAGAAGAAGGATGAGTACAACCCCAAGAACACCATCCCAACCGTGAAGCATGGAGGTGGAAACATCATTCTTTGGGGATGCTTTTCTGCAAAGGGGACAGGACGACTGCACCGTATTGAGGGGAGGATGGATGGGGCCATGTATCGCGAGATCTTGGCCAACAACCTCCTTCCCTCAGTAAGGGCATTGAAGATGGGTCGTGGCTGGGTCTTCCAGCATGACAACGACCCGAAACACACAGCCAGGGCAACTAAGGAGTGGCTCCGTAAGAACCATCAAGGTCCTGGAGTGGCCTAGCCAGTCTCCAGACCTGAACCCAATAAAAAATCTTTGGAGGGAGCTGAAAGTCCGTATTGCCCAGCGACAGCCCCGAAACCTGAAGGATCTGGAGAAGGTCTGTATGGAGGAGTGGGCCAAAATCCCTGCTGCAGTGTGTGCAAACCTGGTCAAGACCTACAGGAAACGTATGATCTCTGTAATTGCAAACAAAGGTTTCTGTACCAAATATTAAGTTATGCTTTTCTGATGTATCACATACTTATGTCATGCAATAAAATGCAAATGAATTACTTAAAAATCATACAATGTGATTTTCTGGATTTTTGTTTTAGATTCCGTCTCTCACAGTTGAAGTGTACCTATGATATAAAAATTACAGACCTCTACATGTTTTGTAAGTAGGAAAACCTGCAAAATCGGCAGTGTATCAAATACTTGTTCTCCCCACTGTATGTAAACTTCTGAACCACTGGGAATGTGATGAAAGAAATAAAAGCTGAAATAAATCATTCTTTCTACTATTATTCTGACATTTCACATTCTTAAAATAAAGTGGTGATCCTAACTGACCTAAGAAAGGGAATTTTTACTAGGACTAAATGTCAGGAATTGTGAAAAACTGAGTTTAAATGTATTTGGCTAAGGTGTATGTAAACTTCCGACTTCCACTGTATGCATACTTATAGCACATTCATATTGTACCATGTACTGTTAAATTTGTACATTTAAATTGCAGTAACTATTTAGTCATTGAGCCTTGTTCTTCATCGGTTCATTAAAGAATAGGTCTTAGATTCAATGGTGGTAAACTGTAAAAATGTCCAGGTGTTTTTTTCTCATGCTCTCTGACTGTAAGGCTTAGTGCCAACTAGTCACATTTAGATGAACACTACCACGGCATTTAGGCAATGCAATATGTGTTGGTTGTATGTGCACTTGCAGTACAACATGAATACGTCTATTAACTGTCATTTATGTGTGTTCTGATAATCACTAATTCTGGGATGTGTACAGTACAGTACTGAGTGTACAAAACATTAGGAACACCTTCCTAATATTGAGTTCCACCCGCCCCCTTTTGCCTTCAGAACAGCCTCAATTCGTCGGGGCATGGACTCTACAAGGTGTCGAAAGCATTCCACAGGGATGCTGGCCCATGTTGACTCCAATGCTTCCCACAGTTGTCAAGTTGTCTGGATGTCCTTTGGGTGGTGGACCATTCTTGATACACGGGAAACTGTTGAGCGTGAAAAACACAGCAGCGTTGCAGTTCTTGACACACTCAACCCGGTGCACCTGGAACCTACTACCATACCCCGTTTAAAGGCACTTCAATCTTTTGTCTTCCCCATTTACCTTCTGAATGGCACACACACACAATCCATGTCTCAATTGTAGCAAGACTTAAAAATCCTCCTTTAATGTGTCTCCTGCCCTTCATCTACACTAATTGAAGTGGATTTAACAAGTGACATCAACAAGGGATCATAGACAGACCAGGTAAATCCAGGTGAAAGCTATGTCATGGAAAGAGCAGGCGTTCCTAATGTTTTGTACACCCAGTAAGCATTTTATGTAGGTTTTATCTTTCTATGCTGATGGTTGAAGGTCTAATACAGAATATTTACTTCAATTTTCTGAGGTTCTGTTGAACATTAACTGTATGAAATGAAGTGGATGATATAAGGGTGATGTTCAGCTGTCCTTTTGGTGTTTCTTTTAATAGAGAAACCCCTAAACTATTGTAGTGATATGGCAGGGTTCATGTTTTCATTGAAGAATTGTGTGCCTTTTAACTTTTTCTCTTGCATTACTGATATCGAATAACGTGTTCCATCATGACCTGTTACATGACTCTTACCACTTGATCCAGTTGTATATGCAAAATAGCTATTTGTATATAAACAGTATAACTTGAAAGCATGCATTTGTAAAGAAATAATAATCATTGATTTGCTATATTTAGTCTTGGTTGTCATTTATGGCTTCTCTTTACTGTGCACAACTGCCTCATTTTCTAAAGATTACATCATAATCTGCCCTTATAGCCCACACTCTTGATAACCTCACCCACTGCTCCCTGCTCCTCAATTTACAATAATGTTGATTGCCAAACAAACTGCATGTAATGGATCTAATTTACTGGTGAGGGGATGCTATTTAATTGCTGTAAGTAGTTAAGTAAAGGAAAACTGAATAAATCAGTGAAAGTGTAATATAAAATGCCTGATATATCAAGAGTGCCAAGAGATTTGTCTACAGTATGTGTAGAAAAACGCAAAGTACAAGCCAAAAGGAGTGGTCTTACAATCAACTGACAATCAAAACCTTCTTGTATTGATTTGACCTTGAACATTCAGAGCCTGCTTGTTTCTTGAAACCAAAATCATCAGTGAAGAAACCGTGTACCTTTAAGTACTGCCTCAAACCCCATGTCCAAGCATATTATATCTCAACGTATAACATATGAGATAGCTCTGTCATTCAATGTGTTTTCTATGTCAACAATCTGTCAGTGAAGACACAGGTGCCCCTGGGTGAACCATCACAGATCCTGGCAGTGACTCTGGCATGTTTGCTGTGAAACTCTGGGGGGCACTGACAGACACAGACAGTGGACTGAGGTGGGAATGTTGAGAATGTAGATGTTGAGCCACTGGATCCCAGTGACTAGTGGTTTGAGAGGCATATGTGTGCCCATGACTGTGTCCATGGCCGGAGCTGTGTTAGTGACTATGTCCATGACTTGGCCCAAAGCTATGCTTGAGGACATATCCATGGTTGTGACCATAATAACCTGAGAGCTGAACAGGGCTCCCCTGTGTATAGTATGAGTTGGCCCAGCCTTCAAATGTCTTTGGTGTGGTCTCGGTAGCCTGTAGATTGGAGGAAACTGGAGCGTGGGCGTGGACTGGGTAGGAGCCTGGGGATGGAATGATTCTGCAACCAATGAGAATGTGGAGAGATTAAGGGGCGCTTATCTAACTAAACAGTGATTCTCTATTGAATCATGGGGGACCACTAGGTGTCTATTGTACAGTATTCAATTACAGCTGAGGATCCTCTATTAAAACTGCACCTCATTATACTGTAGAACATCATGTTCTCTGGCTTGCACCCAAAAATCATGTTAATTTAATGACCTCTTGTCTTGTAGGATAAATAATGCGTTTAGTGCTTTCTCAGTACTCACGGTGGGTGGACCGTCTTCCTTCTCTCCTCTGTTGATGCAGGGACATACAGGACACCAATGGTCCTCAGCAGCCTGAAAGGCATCTTCTTGTCCAGCACTGATGCCCTAGCATCAGACATGTCTAGAAGTGAGAGCCAGCCCTTTCCGTCTGTTTCACCAGAGCAAGATAAAGAGAATGTGTGACGCAGTGATGCAAGATTTTCCTAACCAAACATCCCATAATGTTCAGCATGAGGACTCAACAAACATTTCAAGCATATACAACACACACAAATATTACAACTTAACTATACTACTACGCACACTTAAAGCTGTGACACACTGCAGAGTGTATCACAGTTATTTTCAACCACAATGAGGTTGGAGTAAGGATACAGATCCTGCCCTGCAATGATGACGTTGCAGAGGAAGACAGTTTGTGGGACCAAAAGTGTTACGATGAGCAGAAACAGTCAGGGCAGGGCTAACATGGATACACTGACTCCAAAAAGAAAGCCCTTAACCATACGGGAGTGCACTGTGGCCATACCCATAAGGGAGAGGGATACAGGAACTAACCCCTCCACTTGATTCTGGGAAGATGCACCAAACAGTACCAGCCCCAGGATGGTGTACAACACCCCTGTGCTGATAGAGAGCAGCTGAAACATGAGGACCCCGAACAGTGCCCACACTCTTCTCAATACCACCACAGAGGGGCACCAGAACCCCAATGCTGAGGAGTAGCTGGGTCACTGTCTTGTAGCGGAAGGAATATGTGATGAGTTTGTGTACTGGAATAGGACAGGATTAAAACGGAAATTATAGGGTTGACAGACATCAGTGGCATTGATGTGTTGTGCTCTTGCTTGCCGCTGTAGCCTACTGGCACTATCTTTTACGTCATTAACGTTAGCTACAAATTGTAGCAAGCTAGATAACGTTACAACACTCCCATTCAAAGTAGCTAGCTACCGAGCATATGACTCTTGATTCACTCAGCCCCTCCTTGCTAATTTACCATGGCATTGCCAAAAACTGTAGTTCCAAGACTGAAGGCATCCTCTGATAAACCGAAATATGTAGTTACAGTAAACAAAACAAAGGATACTATAATGACAGCAACAATGCCACTCGTGAACTCTTGAACCTCTGAACCACATTGTTGTGGAAAATTCGATCCAAGATTAAGGCAGAGGCTATTTGACGATATAATAGAAACATATTTAATACGAGCAGCTGCAGGGGAGATCCACCTCTGATTTCATAGGGAAGAACTCAAGGAAGAAATGCTTACATGTCCCTTATATTGCGGAAGGTGATAATACAACAAATTTGTTTACACAACAGTACTTTCAATACATTAACAGTTCCGGAACACCATTGCCTTGTGTTAGGGTGCAGACATACCAGGTGTCAATGAAAGGCATAACATCACAATCAAACACAGAACATATCCCTTGAGAAGTTACAACAGCTCACCCTAAATTCTGCCAACACATCTTTCAAAACTATTCGGGAGATAATTTTGATGCTCAGTGCATATTTGTCAAACTACTAGTGGATAATCAAGCACAATACAAAAATGTCAGTTACGACACCTGTCCTCCAATATTGCACAACACTTCTTACAATTTAGTCATTTAGCAGACGCTCTTATCCAGAGCGACTTACAGTTAGTACATACATTTTCATACTGGCCCCCCGTGGGAAACGAACCCTCAACCCTGGCGTTGGAAGCGCCATGCTCTACCAACTGAGCTACAGGGGACATTTTAGCTAAAACTGGGGGTAGCTAGCTTGCTAAGCCAAAACAAATGTACTGGACTACCGCATTTGGATAAATCACATTCACAACCACAAAATTACTGATCTGCAGATCATGAAGTGCACTAAGGCAGTGCTGCATTTAAAGACACTGCCACCTGCTGACTTGTGCCTGAAATGTGATGATCAAAGTGTCCTCAGCAGCCCATTTGAGTTAGATAGAAAGCCAGATAGATATATTTGATTTGACACTTAAATAAAATAATTAAAACCGTTTAATAAAATAAAACGTGTCAGGGACAACACAATAAAACCAAATACTTCCATTGTGGTCCCTTAATGATTGTTTCTCCAAGTGCAAAAAAAAAAAATATATATATATATTGGCAAGGAATGGTTAATTCCTAATGATTTCCTGTTGGCCTATGTAAAACGTCGAACCAACCATCCACACAACCATTTCTCAGTCAGTAGGATATATGCACATCACTTTCGTTATTCAGTTAGCTACAACCAGTGGGAAGACGATACAAACAGACCGTATCCAAACAAGCCTTTTGCTTGTGACGTTTATGCTTGGTTACATTTTATGACGTGCCAAGCATTAATTCACTACATAAACTGTGTTCAGATGTGATTTCATCTGTACAATCGCTTTCTTCACTCAGGTTGCTGCAGGTAACCTTTGGCCTTGTGATGCACAGCCTTCCCAACCTGTATAATATATACAGGGTGCCTTATTATATATACATGCCATCCGTTTTGTCACCAAAGCCCATATACTACCCACCATTGTGACCTGTACGCTCTTGTTGGCTGGCCCTCACTACATATTCGTCGCCAAACCCACTGGCTCCAGGTCATCTATAAATCACTGCTAGGCAAATCCCCGTCTTATCTTAGCTCACTGGTCACCATAGCAACACCCACCCGTAGTCTGCGCTCCAGCAGGTATATCTCACTGGTCATCCCCAAAGCCAACACCTCCTTTGGCCACCATTCCTTCCAATTCTCTGCTGCCAATGACTGGAACGAACTGCAAAAATCTCTGAAGCTGGAGACTCTTATCTCCCTCACTAACTTTAAGCGTCAGTTGTCAGAGCAGTTTACCGATCACTGCACCTGCACACAGCCATTCTGAAATTAGCCCACCCAACTACCTCATCCCCATATTGTTATTTATTTTGCTAATTTGCACCCCAGTATCTCTATTTGCACATCATCTTTTGCACATCTATCATTCCAGTGTTAATACGAAATTGTAACTATTTTGCACTATGGCATATTTATTGCCTTATCTCCATATTTGACTACATTCGCACACACTGTATATATATATTTTCTGTTGTATTTTTGACTTTATGTTTTGTTTACCCCATATGTAACTCTGTGTTGTTGTTTTTATTGCACTGCTTTGCTTTATCTTGGCCAGGTCTCAGTTGTAAATGAGTACTTGTTCTCAACTGGCTTACCTGGTTAAATAAAAAAGTAATAAAAAATTAGCAAAATACATATATTGGTCTCATTCTTATATTTTGCGACATGCACCATTCTTACAAAACAAATACGATATTGGTCCACATACATCCTACCCAGGTGGCGTATGATAATGAGTTGGATTTACATAGTGTGTAGAAGCGCTTTCCCATGCTTAGGCTTGGAAATATAGCCAGGAGAAGCAGGGTCAACACCCCTACTCATGCCATAAGTGCCATGAGATGTTTAGTAACCACAGAGAGATAAGACCTCTGTCTACACGGTCTCATCCAAAGGACAGCACCGGCCGCAGGGCAGTGTCACTGGTATTGGGGTCTTAGGTCTCCTTTGGCCAAAGGGAAGAGAAGAGGGCCCCTTACTGGCCTCCTTGCAATATCTGGTCTCCCACACAGAGACGGAAACCTACACCTGTTTAGACCCTGGAGGATATGGCTTCAGATGAAAGACAGCTGAGAGATGCAGAATACAAAAGCTTGAAACACTGTGATGTATGCAAGTTCATGAAAATTGTGCACAGAAGTGGATTATGCATCTGGTCTGAAGCATGTCAAAAGTGTGCATATGAACTGTGACTGGAGGACTGCATCACATTTAAACTAAATGAGCAATTATCTGATGTAGCTGCACCCATCTGTACTTGACTTGTGCTGTTTGAAACATGTATTTCCAATAAAGCTTTTGAAATTGCAATTATTTGTGTCAGACAGATTTTTTTCTTAATTAATTGCAACAAGGGTTCTTAAACTTTTTACAGCAAGGGAACAATTATTGTTCTGACATTACATTACATGATATCAGTGGGTGTTTTTTATTCTGCTGTCCTGACTGGATCCCACGGTGGGTGGCGGTAGTGCACCAATAAATAGTTAGATTGCTCACCAGAAACCCAAGCAGGCAGGTAGAGACTGTTGTTACCATGCAACGAGCAGACGCTTGTGAAAAGTACTAACGTTATCTACAAAATTGGGTTGCTAGCAAATTGACTAAATTGCCTGCTGCTAACCATCTTGGTGCTAGATACATAGCGCGCGAGTGTATGTTGCTAGTTAAGCTAACGTTAGCTTGCAAGCTAATAATAATATTTATCAAGAAAACAACTGCAGCATAGCTTGCTAGCTAACCTAGCCAGCCATCAAAAAAGTTCCTAACGTTACAACATGGCAGACGGCTGGAGCACCGACACGGGAGAGGCTGTCTATCGTTCCCGGGATGCTGTCAAAAACCTTCAAATTAAGTAAATTGTAGTTAGCCTTTGTGTGGCTTTTATTCCTTGCATTGACATACAAGCAAGACACTATCGTTAGCTAACGTTAGCTCTCAAAGCAGATGATGATGAACACACAGTATATTGCTTAACCTGATCCCTGAGAATAGTTAGCTAGAATCTTGTTTACTTTGTTTATATTTAAAATGGTGTTTACAGGATCCGTATTCAGAGAGTCACCTCCACAGCAGCCCTCTCCCAACACCTTCAGCAGCAGGTTTTGGCTCAACCGGAGAGGGAAGGCATTGAGCTGGACACCCTCAACTCACCGGCTCAATCAGGTATTAACACTGTTTTGAAACAGCAAGATGATGTTAGATGTTTTGAAACAGCAAGATGATGCTTCTTAGTTGAGTAGATGTTATTTTCGTAGTGGCTAGATATGGACCAGAACATCTTGGTTTTGTTTTCAGCCGGAGACGATGAGGAGGAGTTGGTGGTAGGCTGGCAGGAGAAGCTGTTCAGTCAGGTAGGTCCTCTACCAGCGTCCATATAACGAATAAGACTTTACTGTTTAGGATAGTTTGATGTTGAATAGTAAGTCATGTGTGTGTGTGTGCAGTATGAAGTGGATTTGTTCCAGAGTGAGTCAGTATGCCAGACTCCACTGGAGAGGCAATACCACACAGAGATCATTGCTCTGGGGCGGACCAGGGGCAGACGGAACCGCAGGATTTTTACCTACTCCGATTTTGACCGCTACACCAATTGGGAAGGGGTGGGTTTATACTGAATCTCCATTTCATTAATGTTATTCAAATCAATCCATCCTGGACATATGTAATTCCTCGAGGAGTGTCCAGTATTGTAGTAGCATTTACCTAATTTCTGTCTCAAAGACACATTAGTGTTTTAAAGCTGTTTTTGAAATACTCACTACAGCATTCCCAGAGTATGGTGACGCAGGTCAAGTCCAACCCTACCTTCCTGGCAGAAAGGATGGCCAATGTCAGACACAGACGACAGGACAGACGCCCAGTGTAGGTCCCTGTTACTCATCAAAGTGAATTTTTATTAAAGTGAATGTAATTGAGGCAACATTGAAGCGTGATGTGCTGCTTTGAAGACAGTGTACCGGTATGTTAAAATTACACCATACCCTTATATGCAAAATGTGTTTGTGGTATTCTGTTGGTCTGCAGTGACAGCACCATCCCTAAGTCCAGGCTGATTACCTGGGAGCCCTCAGAGGACTTTGTGAAGACCAGCCACGTGGTCAACACACCTGTACAGACCATGCACATCATGGGGGACCTGGGACCACCGGGCAAGTGAGTAGCACAAGGGGAAAAAACACTATGTAGCCTTTGCACTTATTACACTGCTTTGTATGTAATAACATTTAAGTACATTCCAATTCAGGAAATTAAAAGTGGCATTGTATTCTTGTATCTCTCAGACTTGGCCAAAAGGAGAAGGAATGCTTGTTGTGCACGATAAGAGCAGATGGAAATGGAGTGGTCACCATCAAACCAGACTTCAACAAAGGCAAAGAGCCCTACAGGCAAGTGGCCCGCACCCGCTGAAGTCAAAATGTTTTACCCCTAGCTCAAATAAGGGTTACTTGGGAGCAGAATACATAATCATTTGCACCCCAGTATCTCTATTTGCACATCATCTCTTGCACATCTATCATTCCAGTGTTAATACTAATTGTAATTATTTTGCACTATGGCCTATTAATTGCCTTACCTCCATAACTTGCTACATTTTCACACACTGTATATATATTTTCTGTTGTATTTTTGACTTTATGTTTTGTTTTACCCCATATGTAACTCTGTGTTGTTGTTTTTATCGCACTGCTTTGCTTTATCTTGGCCAGGTCGCAGTTGTAAATGAGAACTTGTTCTCAACTGGCTTACCTGGTTAAATAAAGGTGAAATAAAAATAAAAATACAGTACAGGCCATTGACTGTGTCATGATGCTGTGTGTTTGCGCCCAGGGTTGAGACGGAGGGGGAGAAGAGGGAGGTGTGGCGTCTAACCCTGGAGAACGTGTCAGAAGGCATCAGACCAGAGGAGAAGGAACGGGAACAGCGCATGTATAAAGACGTTAGTGACTGAGTGTGTAGTGTTATTCACTGTTCGTGCACTGTAATAATACTTGTATTATAGTTCACCCCCAAATCAACACTAGGCAGATGTTTTTGTACCCCAAAGTGGCCTAATGTCAGATTTGTCCTTATGCATGTTCATACACTGATGAAATATTATTTTAGCCTTTCAGTCAGGTTAGAGTCTTTATGATGATGACCTCTCCTCTCTTTTTCTCCTTTCAGCTTTATGTACGTCATAAAGACTACCTCAACAGCTTGGTTGGCCAGGACTTTGAAATGGTATATATCTAGTCAGTGACAGATCCTTAACACAAGTATTTTAATCAGCAAAGGTCATCCGCGGTGTTCGCTCAGTATTTGGTAATTCAATTAAGCAATGATGATCAGAAACCCATACATTTCAGAGTTTTGGTGACACGCCAAGCTGATGTATGAAATTATGGGATGAATTAATTCTGTATATGTTCGTGTCCTTCAGCCACCCCCTGGAATTCTGCGTCTGTTGGTTAATGGAGAAATAGGTAAGTAATGGTAGAGACAGTTATAATATGACTTTTCAATATACTGTATTTTAAAGTAGTCATTTCATTAGGTCTCCTGTAGTGACCATTTCTCTGCTCTCTCTCCAGACTCAGCCAAAGGCTTTGAATATGACAACTTATACATCCACTTTTTCATGGAGCTGCCCAACAGTGAGTCAAAATAAACCGTCACCTTTTATAGAGAAAGATATCCCACTTCTTACACATATTGTCAATATACTGTATGTCTTTTACATCGTTCACTTTGTAAGCTCCATTTACAACTAGATTCCTGTTTCTTTAGATAATATAGCTGGTCGTTTTGAACAAGTTGTTTTCAGCTAACCCTACCTTCCCTGCCTGTTCTTCCTAGATTGGTCCACTCTGCCATTCCAGTCTCTCTCTGGAGTGACTCAGACTTGTCGCACAAAGACCATAGGAAAGGCGGGTCTATAATTCAGGTCTTCACATTAACCGCTGTTCTTATTAGAGACATAGGTAAACATCTGAACATGCTTTTCTTATGCCTGTAGGACGACGTGGCTTTCTTCAGTTACCCTTTCAGCTTTGAGGCATTCTTCAGGAGAAAGGATGAGACAGAGGGTGAGTTTACAGTGCATTTGGAAAGTATTCAGACCCTTTCACTCTTTCCACATTTTGTTACGTTACAGCCTTATTCTAAAATGGATTTTAAAACATTTTTCTTCATCGATCTACACACAATACCCCATAATGACAAAGTAAAAACAGTTTTTTTTACATTTTAGCAAATGTATTTAAATTTAAAAAAACAGATACCTTATTTACATAAGTATTCAGATCCTTTGCTATAAGACTCGAAATTGAGCTCAGGTGCATCCTGTTTCCATTGATCATCCTTGAGATGTTTCTACAACTTGATTGGAGTCCACCTGTGGTAAATTCAATTGATTGGACATGATTTGGAAAGGCACACACCTGTCTATATAAGGTCCCACAGTTGACAGTGCATGTCAGAGCAAAAACCAAGCCATGAGGTCGAAGAAATTGTCCGTAGAGCTCCGAGACAGGATTGAGTCGAGGCATAGCTCTGGGGAAGGGTACCAAAAAATGTCTGCAGCATTGAAGGTCCCAAAGAACACAGTGGCCTCCATCATTCTTAAATGGAAGAAGTATGGCACCACCAAGACTCTTCCTAGAGCTGGTGGCCCGGCCAAACTGAGCAATCGGGGGAGAAGGGCCTTGCTCAGGGAGGTGACCAAGAACCCTATGGTCACTCTGACAGAGCTCCAGAGTTCCTCTGTGGAGATGGGAGAACCTTCCAGAAGGACAACCATCTCTGCAGCACTCCATCAATAATATAATAATAATATAATATGCCATTTAGCAGACGCTTTTATCCCAAGCGACTTACAGTTACGTGTGCATACATTTTTACATATGGGTGGTCCCGGGGATCGAACCCACTACCCTGGCGTTACAAGCGCCATGCTCTACCAATTGAGCTACAGAGAACCACACCAATCAGGCCTTTATGGTAGAGTGGCCAGACGGAAGCCACTCCTAAGTAAAAGACACATGACTTCCCGCTTGCAGATTGCCAAAAGGCACCTAAAGGACTCTCAGACCATGAGAAACAAGATTCTCTGGTCTAATGAAACCAATATTAAACTCTTTGACCTGAATGTCAAGCACCACGTCTAGAGGAAACCAGGCACCGTTCATCACCTGGCAAATACCATCCTTACGGTGAAACATGGTGGTGGCAGCATCATGCTGTGGGGATGTTTTTCAGCGGAAGGGACTGGGAGACTAATCAGGATAGAGGGAAAGATGAACGGAGCAAAGTACAAAGAGATCCTTGATGAAAACCTGCTCCAGAGTGCTCAGGACCTCAGACTGGGGCGAAGGTTCACCTTCCAACAGAACAATGACCCTAAGCACACAGCCAAGACAATGCAGGAGTGGCTTCGGGACAAGTCTCTGAATGTCCTTGAGTGTCCCAGCCAAAGCCCAGACTTGAACCCGATCTAACATCTCTGGAGAGACCTGAAAATAGCTGTGCAATGACGCTCCCCATCCAACCTGACAGAGCTTGAGAGGATCTGCAGAGAAGAACAGGAGAAACTCCCCAAATACAGGTGTGCCAAGCTTGTAGCGTCATACCCAAGAAGACTCAAGACTGTAATCACTGCCAAAGGTGCTTCAAGAAAGTACTGATTAAAGGGTCTGAATACTTATGTAAATGTGATATTTCAGGGTTTGTTTGTTTGTTTTTTTACAAACATTTCTAAAACCCTGTTTTTGCTTTGTCATTATGGGGTATTGTGTGTAGATTGATGAGGGAAAAAAACTATTTAATCCATTTTAGAATAAGGCTGTAACGTAACAAAATGTGTAAAAAGTGAAGGGGTCTGAATACTTAACGAATATTAATATAAATATTTAGTTTAGATTGTATTCCTGACAATAATTATCATAAAATGGTATTTGTAACATGCATTTCATCATAGCGTAACTTCATATGGCATTTCTTAATTTTTCCTGCTAATTATTTTATCATAGAATCCCTTCCCCAATGGCCAGTTCTGTACTTCAAAGTCCTCTCCCTGGACTTCTGGCAGCGCTACAGAAATGAAGGCTATGGCTACCTGGTCATTCCTTCCACCCCTGGTAAGATGTGTATATGTGTATAATGACAGTCAGAATTGTTTTCTGAAAGTAGCGTAAATGATCTACTCTGGCTCAAACAGGTGTGTGTGTGTGTATCCCATAGGGAAGCATACAGTAACGTGTCATACGTGGAGACCGCTGCAGACGGGAACAGTGTCAGAACTGAGACGCTTCTTCATTGGTGGATCCCCTGAGCTGGAGGACTACAGTTATGTCAGAGTCCCAGGGACCTTCAAGGTACAAAGAAAATACTGCAATTCTCTGAATAAAGTCCTGAAAACACTGACTGATAAGTATTTACATACAAGTCTAGCTAACCCTGTCTGTGTAGGGAGAGAGGCTGAGTCGCTTTGGCTTCCGCACACAGACCACAGGCAGCGTCACCTTCAACCTCCATTGTATCCAGCACGCTAGGTGAGTCTGGTTCAAGTCAAGACTTTCTGTTGGTTGCACAGATGAAAATACCACTGTGAATATTTACAGATTATTTATGAGGGGTCCACAGTATTATGTTATTTTAGTATGGGGTGAAGCAACAGAATGAAAAAGGTTCCGACTTTCCATTTGGGCCATATTTTCTCTGTTGTTTGTTTGACATATATGCTTGTCTTGTGTTCAGGGCGTTTGTTGATGCCAGCAACCTGAAGAAGAGGATGCAGAGTGTTCTGGACCAGCTGGGAGGCTTCAGTCAGCAAGGGGCTGTCTATAATGTCCTGGGTAAGGAATGTCATGTCCAAATACAAATAATTGACAAAGAATTACAAAATGTCAAGATGCTGAGCGGAAAAAATATTACAGTAGCCTGTTAAACAGTGGATTTGTGCTCTAATTGGCAGAGGCATTCCAGAGGGCCAGGAGACGGATGCATGAGGCCAGAGAGAGTCTTCCCCGAGACCTCATAAACACTACAGCCCAACAAAACTCTGAGTCCACCTCATAGACACATACATGGTTTACATACAGTAGGCAGCACAGCGTTCACCTGAAAGAAAATGCGAAGGAAATGCCAGGATTAAATATAACATCTCCCTGTTCAACAGCCATCTATGTTTATGTTCTGTAATTTTGTAAGTATTACAATGCATGTACACCTGTATACATTGAGTATACCAAACATTAGGAACACCTTCCTAATATTGAGTGGGACCCCCCCCCCCCCTTCCTTTTACTCAGAACAGCCTCAATTTGTCGGGGCATGGACTCTACAAGGTGTTGAAAGCGTTTCACAGGGATGCTGGCCCATGTTGACTCCAATGCTCCCCACAGTTGTCAAGATGGCTGGATGTCCTTTGGGTGGTGGACCATCCTTGATACACACGGGAAACTGTTGAGCATGAAAAACCCAGCAGCGTTGCAGTTCTTGACACAAACTGGTGCGCCTGGCACCTACTACCGTACCCTGTTCAAAGGCACTTACATTTTTTGTCTTGTCCATTCACTCTCTGAATGGCACACATACACAATCCATGTCTCAATTGTCTCAAGGCGTAAAAATCCTTCTTTAACCTGTCTCCCCTCCATTTACACTGATTTGAAGTGGATTTGAAAAGTGAAATCAATAAGGGATCATAGCGTTCACCTGGATTCACCTGGTCAGTCTGTCATTGAAAAGTAGGTGTTCTTAATGTTTTGTATGCTAAGTGTATATGTGGTTCAGATACAGTATTGTAAGAGATAGACTTTATAGCGCCGTGTCAGATGATGATGTATTAACTATTTTCCATGTTTTATCATAGTTTGACAATTGATTTTATAATAAAACTAAGATATGCCTATTTTAGATTCACATCTTAAAAGTAAAAAGTGTTTGTGAGGCTTTGTATACCTTCTTTTCCCATGTTTTGTATGAAACATTACTCTGCTATCATTTGGTCTATTACATTTTCACCTTTGGGAGAAATGAGATGAGCACAGGTCTACCTAGTAAAGTCCAGGTTGTATCAAGCCTGTTCTGGGGTAAGATGAGACACTGGTGAGCACGTCTCAAACGCATGTGTAGCAAAGTGTCCGAGAGGAGTGAGGGTGCCAGGAAACTGTCAGTGCTGGCGCTCCCCTCTGCCCGTCTGGGCGCCTGCTGCACCTGCCTCAGTAACCAGCCCTGCTGGCACCGCCACAGAGTGGCCTGGCGCTGGCCATGGTGTGAACACGGTCTGTCTCCCTCTCCTAATTAAACTTTATACATTACAAACATCTATAGTTGGTTGTCCTGATGGAGACTTGCTAGCAATTAATGCAGGTATATATATATATATATATACACACACACACAGTACCAGTCAAAAGTTTGGACACACCAACTCATTCAAGGGTTTTTCTTTATTTTTACTACTTTCTGCATTGTAGAATAATAGTGAAGACATCAAAACTATGAAATAACACATATGGAATCATGTAGTAACAAAAAAGTGTTAAACAAATCAAAATATATTTTATATTTGAGATTCTTCAAAGTAGCCACCCTTTGCCTTGATGACAGCTTTGCACACTGTTGGCATTGTTGAGGCCAGGTCATCTGATGCAGCACTCCATCACTCTCCTTCTTGGTCAAATAGCCCTTACACAGCCTGGAGGTGTGTTGGGTCATTGTCCTGTTGAAAAACAAATGATAGTCCCACTAAGCGCAAACCAGATGGGATGGCGTATCGCTGCAGAATGCTGTGGTAGCCATGCTGGTTAAGTGTGCCTTGAATTCTTAATAAATCACTGACAGTGTCACCAGCAAAGCACCATCACACCTCCTCCTCCATGCTTCACGGTGGGAACCACACATGGAGAGATCATCCGTTCACCTACTCTGCGTCTCACAAATACACAGCAGTTGGAACCAAAAATCTCAAATTTGGACTCATCAGACCAAAGGACAGATTTTCACCAGTAATGTCCATTGCTCATGTTTCTTGGCCCAAGCAAGTGGGCCTTTAGTAGTGGTTTCTTTGCAGCAATTTGACCATGAAGGCGTGATTCACGCAGTCTCCTCTTAACAGTTGATGTTGAGATGTGTCTGTTACTTGAACTCTGTTAAGCATTTATTTGGGCTGCAATCTGAGGTGCAGTTAACTCTAATGAACTTATCCTCTGCAGCAGAGGTAACTCTGGGTCTTCCTTTCCTGTGGCGGTCCTCATGAGAGCCAGTTTCATCATAGCGCTTGATGGTTTTTGCGACTGCACTTGAAGAATCTTTCAAAGTTCTTGAAATGTTCCGGATTCACTGACCTTCATGTCTTAAAGTAATGATGGACTGTTGTTTCTTGCCATAATATGGACTTGGTCTTTTACCAAATAGGGCTATCTTCTGTATACCACCCCTACCTTGTCACAACACAAATGATTGGCTCAAACGCATTAAGAAGGATAGAAATTCCACAAATTAACTTTTAACAAGGCACACCTGTTAATTGAAATGCATTCCAGGTGACTACCTTGTGAAGCTGGTTGAGAGAATGCCAAGAGTGTGCAAAGCTGTCATCAAGGCAAGGGGTGGCTATTTGAAGAATCTCAAATATAAAATATATTTTGATTTGTTTAACACTTTTTTGGTTACTACATGATTCCATGTGTGTTATTTCATAGTTTTGATGTCTTCACTATTATTCTACAATGTAAAAAAAAAATTTGTAGAAAATAAAGAAAAACCCTTGAATAAGTAGGTGTGTCCAAACCTTTGACTGGTACTGTATATAAAAAGTAAAATATTTTTTTGTCATGTTTTTTTCTCATTCTGGTAGTTTTTATGCTCAGAATTTGCTAAAAACTCCATCAAACCCTCAGGAAAGGCGCGAGGGTATTCATGCATTTGTTTCCATCGATACAAATTAATTAAAATAAATGTACAAAATAATTGATGCGCGTGGCCTTTTCTGAATGCAGTCACTGTTAATGGACAGGGTCAGCCTAGCTTTCGATGCATTTAGCCGATTTCATATTTTGCGTATGCATATTACCCGAACATGTGTGGGTATTGCCTAGGCACATTTAGGCGAGTCTACATAATTCGGCACTCGCATCCCCCGAAGTGAACAAAGCTAGCTAGCTAGTAAAAACAACCTGACAAATGGACACTACTATACTGCACCTCAAACAATTTTCCAAGTTGGAATAATGTAACGAACGCGCCGTTTGGAGGGTTCGAAGAGTGGAACCTCAACTATAATGAAAGTTAAGACAAGACGGAGACGACATACAATACATGACTTTATTCATGACAGGCAAGGCAACCACCATCTCCCTCACTGCTAGCTGTAAGGCAGGCGAAATGGATTTAACAAGTGACATCAATAATGGATCATAGCTTTCACCTGGTCAGTCTGTCATGGAAAGAGCAGGTGTTCTTAATGTTTTGTTCACTCAGTGTATGTTCAGACTAAACGAGATTTACTGCTCACTAAGTTCACTGCTACCTCCAGCAGAATTATTTATTTCCTGACCAGTCATATGAAAAGTCTGGGTTTTGGAGAATATATTTTGCAATAGAGCTCAGTTTACCATTGGAACTATTCATTTCCATTATCTGTTAGAATCGGCTCCATATACACTACATTACCAAAAGTATGTGGACACCTGCTTGTCAAACATCTCATTCCAAAATCATGGGTATTCATTTGGAGTTGGTCCCCCCTTTTTTGCTACAACAGCCTCCACTCTTCTGGGAAGGCTTTCCACTAGATGTTGGAACATTGCTGCGGGGACTTGCTTCCATTCAGCCACGAGCATTAGTGAGGTTGGGCACTAATGTTGGGCGATTACGCCTGCCTCGCAGTCGGCGTTCCAATTCATCCCAAAGGTGTTCGATGGGGTTGAGGTTAGGGCTCTGTGCAGGCCAGTCAAGTTCTTTCACACCAATCTTGAAAACCATTTCTGTATGGACCTCGCTTTGTGCACAGGGGGCATTGACATGCTGAAACAGGAAACGGCCTTCCCCAAACTGTTGCCACAAAGTTGGAAGCACAGAATCGTCTAGAATGTCATTATATGCTGTAGCATTGATTTCTCTTCACTGGAACTAAGGGACCTAGCCCGAACCATGAAAAACAGCCCCAAACCATTATTCCTCCTCCACCAAACTTTACAGTTGGCACTATGCATTCGGGCAGGTAGCGTTCTCCTGGCATCCGCCAAACCCAGATTAGTCCGTCGGACTGCCAGATGGTGAAGCGTGATTCATCACTCCAGAGAACGTGTTTCCACTGCTCCAGAGTCCAATGGCGGCGAGCTTTACACCACTCCAGCCGACACTTGGCATTGCGCATGGTGATTTTAGGCTTGTGTGCGGCTGCTCGGCCATGGAAACACATTTCATGAAGCTCCCGATGAACAGTTATTGTCCTGATGTTGCTTCCAGAGGCAGTTTGGAAGTCAGTAGTGAGTGTTGCAACCGAGGACAGACTATTTTTACATGCTTTAGCATTCAGCGGTCCTGTTCTGTGAGCTTGTGTGGCCTACCACTTCACGGCTGAGCCGTTGTTGCTCCTAGACGTTTCCACTTCACAATAACAGCACTTACAGTTGACCGGGGCAGCTCTAGCAGGGCAGAAATTTGACAAACTGACTTGTTGGAAAGGTGGCATCCTATGACGGTGCCATGTTGAAAGTGACTGAGCTCTTCAGTAAGGCCATTCTACTGCCAATGTTTGTTTATGGAGATTGCATGGCTGTGTGCTCAATTTTATACACCTGTCAGCAACGGGTGTGGCTGAAATAGCCGAATCCACTAATTTGAAGGGGTGTCCACATACTTTTGCATATATAGTGTGCTCAAGTACTTGAGAGTAATGTCACACTTCATTCTCAGACAAGCGTGCTATCAGAGGCTAGGATTAACAGTATCATGATGTCATGTTGTGTCATGTTTTTTCTTTCATATTATATCATTTAACAGCATTGAATGGTGTACTGGTGCCCACTCTGCCTCTGAAATGCATGGCACTTGCCATCTGCTTGCATCAGTTGTAACACTGAGAACAGTTTGCTACATTCTGTAAATGGCCGTTGCTTTGTTTTTCTCCGAAAGCCACAGCGGGAGCCAGGTGTAAACCGATCGTAGTTCCCAGGACAAATTAATATCCCAGGGTACTAAAAGTGGCATAAAAACTATT